GGTACTACATGACAACACACAAGTAAATGTTTTTGATACTACACGACAGTACATGTACGCATTTTTTATACTACATGACAGTAAATGTACACATTGTTGGTACTACATGACAACACACAAGTAAATGTTTTTGATACTACACGACAGTACATGTACGCATTTTTTATACTACATGACAGTAAATGTACACATTGTTGGTACTACATGACAACACACAAGTAAATGTTTTTGATACTACACGACAATACATGTACACATTTTTGATACTACATGACAGTAAATATACACATTATTGGTACTACATGACAACACACAAGTAAATGTTTTTGATACTACACGACAGTACATGTACACATTGTTGGTACTACATGACAACACACAAGTAAATGTTTTTGATACTACACGACAGTACATGTACACATTTTTGATACTACATGACAGTAAATATACACATTATTGGTACTACATGACAACACACAAGTAAATGTTTTTGATACTACATGACAGTACATGTACACATTTTTTATATTGAACTTTGATGGACAAAATGCTACAAACAGAAATTAACCTTATGTTTAACATTTTTTTTTTATGTAGCTTTTTGATGAAAGTACAATGTCTAAAATTTGTGTGTTATTTTATTTAGTTCTCCTACATTCTATTTTGGGGACAATTATAGTGTGAATCATGGCTTTACTAAGGGGAACTTACAAGCTAGCTTCACTGCCTGCAGTATGTAGATGTCTCCACCTGTCTCCAGTAGCTCGTCAGAAGTCATGGAATATCTTAAAGTTGAATCACGTGGCTCTTGCGACAGCTGACTTAGACAAAACCTTGATTCCCAGGATATCTCTGTATAGGGCAGTTGTGAGTTGATGACTATCCTGACTTAGACAAAACAACTGCCCTATACAGAGATATCCTGGGAATCAAAGTGAGTTGATGACTATCCTGACTTAGACAAAACAACTGCCCCATACAGAGATATCCTGGGAATGAAGGTGAGTTAATGACTATCCTGACTTAGACAAAACAAGTGCCCTATACAGAGATATCCTGGTAATCAAGGTGAGTTAATGACTATCCTGACTTAGACAAAACAACTGCCCTATACAGAGATGTCCTGGAATCAAGGTGAGTTAATGACTATCTTGACTTAGATAAAACAATTGCCCTATACAGAGATATCCTGGGAATCAAGGTGAGTTGATGACTATCTTGACTTAGATAAAACAATTGCCCTATACAGAGATATCCTGGGAATCAAGGTGAGTTAATGACTATTCTGACTTTCACAAACAAAATCAGGATGAATGAGGATTCAAAGTTGTATGACATCAATGTTCTTCCCTTTTCTTCAGCTTGTTTGTACTTTTGTTAACAAACATAATAATAAAAAATGTTCACTGTTGTAAATGAAATAATAATGTGATCTAAGTAAGAGTAGTTTTTCTTCCCAATTTGTAAAAAAATCCTTACATGATATAAAAAAAATAATTTTAAAATCTGTGTAACTGAATTATGGAAAATCTGTTATTAAAACCAAAACAACGTTTATGAAGTTTAACTTTGCATGCCTATGTTATTAATAAACATGATGCATGATGTGATTTGTCTGAATCAACTTGTGTTGTAAAAGAAACACTCAAGGAGCATCAGCGATGAGAATTATTTATAAACATTATATTCCATAGTATGATTTGGTCTGAATTGACTCCTTTGTTGTACAGAATGGTTATTAATTCTATAATGTTTTCAAATTTTGATCTCTCTTAGTGCGTGTCGTGTGGGGTTACATTAAGTATGACAGTCCACTGTGGTTACATTAAGTATGACAGTCCACTGTGTTTACATTAAGTATGACAGTCCACTGTGTTTACATTAAGTATGACAGTCCACTGTGTTTACATTAAATCGGACAGTACACTGTGTTTACGTTATATCTGACAGTACACTGTTTTACGTTATATCTGACAGTACACTGTGTTTACGTTATATCTGACAGTACACTGTGTTTACGTTAAATGTGACAGTACACTGCATTTACGTTAAATCTGACAGTACACTGTGTTTACATTAAATCTGACAGTACACTGTGTTTACGTTAAATCTGACAGTACACTGTGTTTACGTTAAATCTGACAGTACCACTGCATTTACGTTAAATCTGACAGTACACTGTGTTTACGTTATATCTGACAGTACACTGTGTTTACGTTATATCTGACAGTACACTGTGTTTACGTTATATCTGACAGTACACTGTGTTTACGTTATATCTGACAGTACACTGTGTTTACATTATATCTGACAGTACACTGTGTTTACATTAAGTATGACAGTCCACTGTGTTAACGTTAAATCTAACAGTCCACTGTGTTTACATTAATCATGTTTTTCAATTAAAAAGAACAACTACATCAACATAATCTATCAGGTAAGATCAGTTTAGTACCTTCTTAAATACTGTAACTGTACATCATACTCAAGTGTTGTGTGGTAGGTTATGTTCACTGTAACTGTACATCGTACTCAAGTGTTGTGTGGTAGGTTATGCTGAAGAAAAACCAACTAGGTTTGCAAGAGCAACATAACTGCAGATACATACAACCAACTTTGAACACTACAACCTCATCATCACATCCTGATTGAAACATGTGAACTTTATTATTTTCTAAACTACATGTTTGGCTTTCTGTAGTCTGTGCTCTTATTCAAATTTCTTAAGTTACTGACCAGAATGAAGTTCAAATTATACTGAAATAAACTCTTAATAGATTCAATTTACAGAAATAAAGACCAAAAGTGCTAAAAGGCTATGTTCTTGTTCTGTTTGCATAATTTCACATGTAAATAAAAATCGTGAACATAACCTACCACACAACACTTGAGTACGATGTACAGTTACATTGAACATAACCTACCACACAACACTTGAGTATGATGTACAGTTATGATATTGTAATTTTTAATGTCAGATTTGTGATAAGAAACCTAAAGCAAGCCAAGGGAGAAAACCCTTTTTTGTATCTGTATACTGGAAAAAAAGCAGTTAGTATGTACAGAGAACCACAGTAAAAATCTGGTGTTTTCAAAGATATAATAGTTTACTTGTAGATATGGAAGAAGTGTTGGAAAACACTATTTTCAAGTTTTATTGGATTGGATAACATCTGCTTTAGTGATAATATTAGGTTATTGAAACATAATAAAATTGGTGGGGAATCTCATTTTTATAAATCACTTCTTAATTGGTTTCAGACGAGTGAGCCTGTTGCTCAGCCTGAGCACGGAGTTTACACAGTGTTCGTGGAGCTAGAAAATACCAAACTAGAACTACTACTTCCCCACGGTGAAAAGAGTCCCATTAAAGGTTTTCTAGAGAAGAACAAAACGGGTGGAATGCATCATATTTGTTTAGAAGTAGACAACATCAAAGCTGCCATGGCCGACCTTAAAAGCCACAAGATTCGAATGCTTAGCGAGGAACCTCGAACCGGTGCTCACGGAAAGCCAGTGGTGTTCCTCCATCCAAAAGATTGTGGTGGGGTTCTTGTCGAACTGGAAGAAGCATAAGAACGTTTGATTCCTGTGTGTTTCACTTTACTAGCAAACTGAAGCTTACCTTTTAGTAGTTATGTTGTAGCTATAAACAAATTAGTTGTAGAGAAAGGAAAAAATAAAATTTCTTGTTATTATGTATCATTATTATCTCATTTATAGTCTTCAGAAATATTTTTTACACACAGATTAAATTGAAACAATTCAATTAAAAGCTTAGTGCTTTAATTTATGGAAGTATTCCTGTAGTCTGAAGTTTAACAAACTAGAACACGTGATGAATTACATATACAAGCAGTAATATACTATATACACAAGAATTTTTAGACTTGGAACACTAATACAAAATAAATCCTTTTTAGGCAAAAATTATTTGTTTAAATAGCAAATGTATTTATAAACATGTTTGACACATTAAGACCTTCAGAAGTTTATTTGGTATTCTATAAACAAATTATGCCAAATTTAACATATTGTAGACTTATCCACATAAATACACCATAATGTTTTGTTGTAGGTTATGTTTTGTGTTGTTGGCCAAAGAAAGGTTTAATATTTGGAAGCTCCTCTAAAGTTTTAAAAGTGTTTGAGCTAACTGTAAGAAGTGAGTTCAACTACAGTTAGCTAGTAAATTTCATAGGTTAGTTCTGTAAATTTGGAGTTTGTAATGAGGTACAAGAGATGTGAAATTAGCAACTAATTCAAATATCTGTTTAGACATTGTTTAATTTGGAAGATGGGCCTATTGTTACCTAAAACTGTAATGTCTGTAGTTAAGAAATAACTATCATTAAGTAGACTAGATATATCTCTTTCTACTGACTAATCCAGAAAAATCATCAACAATATAATCTTAACAAATGGATCTGTGTCTAAGTTGTGAAATCTTAAGTAAATATACCAAAGAAACATGAATTACATTTGCATATTTTTGTATCAGGAATTTATTTGGTACGGATGTTTTCATGATGAATAAATTCAAAAACATGCAGCATTTTGTTATCAATTCATAATTGACATTTGCTACATGTGAACGTGTTTTGTATCGTTAATGTTGAACATAAAACCCCTCAGTATTTCAAGAATATTAAACCCCCACCTATTGTTTTTTGAATCCCCGACTTTCATAGGGCAGTCAGTTTTTGTTGCTCAGAACACGTTTTTTTTTTTTACCTAAACCAATTATTGACTGTAACTTTTAGTATCTCGTTAGTTGCCACAAAGATTAGGGCTTAGATGCCTAACTTCGACACTCAGCCCAATACCCGTCCAGAGTCAAATATCTCTCCATGTACCCGTGCATCCCTAGTTGTATTACTTGTTGTAGTTTGTAATGTTTACATTTATAGCAAAGTGTTTTATGCATCATACTTGATACTGATATATTAAACTTTTTTCAATTCAATGAACATTTGAAGATATTAAAATATGTGTCGTAATACTTCTGTCCTTAAGAAGTTACTGTAATTCGTTATTCTCCATGAAACTGTACTTATTAGCTATTTACACTGATGTTGCCAAAATACTTCTATTTAAATAAAGCAAGAGTTCAGTAACCCCACTGTCGTGTCTACCGACTTGAGTCCAGTAATCCCACTCTTGTGTCCACCAACTTGAGTCCAATAACCTCACTGTCGTGTCTACCGACTTGAGTCCAGTAATCCCACTGTCGTGTCTACCGACATGAGTTCAGTAATCCCACTTTTGTGTCCACCAACTCATGTTGGTGAACACAAAAGTGGGATTACTGGACTCAAGTAGGTGGACATAAGAGTTAGGTTACTGGACTGAAGTCGGTGAACACAAGAGTTAGGTTACTGGACTCAAGTCGGTGGACACATAAGGGGGATTACTGAACTCAACAAAAGATGGGGTTACTGAACCATGCTGCCTAGGAAGATTGTGTCTATATGGATTTGTAATAGTCTTCAAGATCTTCATGCTGCCTAGGAAGATTGTGTCTATATGGATTTGTAATAGTCTTCAAGATCTTCATGCTGCCTAGGAAGATTGTGTCCATATGGATTTGTAATAGTCTTCAAGATCTTCATGCTGCCTAGGAAGATTGTGTCTATATGGATTTGTAATAGTCTTCAAGATCTTCATGCTGCCTAGGAAGATTGTGTCTATATGGATTTGTAATAGTCTTCATGCTGCCTAGGAAGATTGTGTCTATATGGATTTGTAATAGTCTTCATACTGCTTAGGAAGATTGTGTCTATATGGATTTCTAATAGTCTTCATGCTGCCTAGGAAGATTGTGTCTATATGGATTTGTAATAGTCTTCATACTGCCTAGGAAGATTGTGTCTATATGGATTTGTAATAGTCTTCATGCTGCCTAGGAAGATTATGTCTATATGGATTTCTAATAGTCTTCATGCTGCCTAGGAAGATTGTGTCTATATGGATTTGTAATAGTCTTCATACTGCTTAGGAAGATTGTGTCTATATGGATTTGTAATAGTCTTCATACTGCTTAGGAAGATTGTGTCTATATGGATTTGTAATAGTCTTCATGCTGCCTAGGAAGATTGTGCTAGACAAGCTGTCCCAAGGTTTTCTTTGTGTGTATTGTAATAGTTGAAATGTGGTCAAACTTTTATTAAACTTATTCAGTATATACAAGGTAAGACAAGCTGTCCCGAGGTTTTCTTTGTGTGTATTGTAATAGTTGAAATGTGGTCAAACTTTTATTAATCTTATTCAGTATATACAAGGTAAGACAAGCTGTCCCGAGGTTTTCTTTGTGTGTATTGTAATAGTTGAAATGTGGTCAAACTTTTATTAAACTTATTCAGTATATACAAGGTAAGACAAGCTGTCCCGAGGTTTTCTTTGTGTGTATTGTAATAGTTGAAAGAAAAGTACAATTATGACTATGAATTCTCGTACAAATTACAGTATCTATTAACAGAAAACCACACTTAGATTCACTTGTAACAGAATACTGTTCTGTTACTGTAGAACACACTTCTTCAGTAAATGTACTATGAAAATATATTTATTGATGAGGCTATAGCCAGTTACAGGATATAGAGATGAATGAGAAAGACTCCATCACTGTGCTGTTTATCCTGATACACTGGACATTTGAAAAACCCAAACAAATCATATAGAACAAAATCCATTTACTTCCACTAAACTTCTAATAACCTTTTATAAATGGTGTTACTATTACAATATATGAGCAAAGTCCTGCCATATAAGATGATAAAAATTTACAAACATTATTAGTGATTGTTTAGGATCATTTAGTTAGTGAAATTAGAAGCACCAGTAACTGATACAAACTTAAACTTTTCTTTCTGATCATATTAAATGCAAACACCATTTAGAACACATCTGATAATCAAGATTCAAACACTTATACTGACCAAACTACAAGACTTTCTATCCATGTTTAATACAGATCTTTGAAACAACTACTATTGTATTAGATGGCTTCTTGAAGAGAAGACACTAACTTTGAAATTACATGCACCCTCCCCTAATTCTTAGCTGTTTCTCAAACATTGATAATTAACAAAAGTATTATTACAACAGTAATAGAAACTACATATTTTGTCATAATGAGGGAGTTTTAAATACACACAGCTACCTTACTGTGGGTAACTCTGTTGAGTCGTAGTTCTAAAACTACAACCTGCTCTATCCATGTTGAATTTTTTATAAGAATAAAATAAGTTACATTTTCTAAATTTATAACAAAGTTTCAATTATTACTGTACAATAATTTCATTAAGTCAACAACTTCTCAAAACACAATACTTCAACAGTGCTGTAGCATCAAAAGAAAACTCCTGACAATAAACGAAATATAAAAGGTTAAAATTTAGATAGTTTCATCATTTTGAAAACGTTCAGAAATAAAATCTAATACAGTTGAGACGTACAGAACGCCTCGTAAACAAACTACTTTCCATTTCTCATGGTATCATGAAGTTGTGTACTACATAACTAATAATACGGGCAGTTTTGTGATCACAGTACAAACAAAACACATTCAATACACTTTCAAGATACTTACACATTCCCAAATTAAATGCAAGAAAACCTGATTTTATATTTATAGAGTAAAAAAATGGGGGAGAGGGGCATACTGGAAAAAATTCATTTTATGTTTTAACTCACATTACAAGGTCTTAAACAGAACAAATGATCATGTATCATAGTATACAGGAGAGAAACAAGTGTCTTGAAAACAAAAAAACACGTACCTGAAGATGTTTTTTTAATAACAATAAAAAAAAACTGCAAGAGCATAATTTCTAGATGTCCCCACAAGAAGAGAAGCTGAAGAATCATTAGAACACTAACCACCAATGACAATAGCTGATTAGAAAAGTTAGAATTATTTCTATTAATGGCCATCCCTTAGAGAGTAGTGTTAGAATGTTTAAAGCACGCACATTGATGTACAACACTTAGTGAACATGAATATCTACATATATTATGCTAAAATCGAATCTGAAATGTTTCTTATTTACACATTTGTTTTACAATTTTATTTCAAAAATTGTTTTTCGAGCTTATAGATTAATTCACTGACCCAAAATAAATAACACAATAATACAGAATTTCAAATTTGCACTTTCAGCCTCTTTAAAACAATTCATTTTCATTCATAAATCTGAAGATAACATCTTCTATACACAAATTCATGATACTGGACAAACATCTATAGCAGAGTACAAGCACTGCTTTTATTAACATTACATATCTACTAGTATCAAAACAGAGATAATAAACAATAAAAGTAGACGAAATAATAGAATTGGAAACAATTATCAACTGGTTGAAGTTTCTTTTCCTCTGTCATTATACTTACTGTTATGACATTGTATGTAAAAATAACCATGCCTGAATACATAGTAGTAGTTAACTGGTGTAAGATAATAATATAGTTTTTATACATTTCTTTTATAATAAAAACTGTCTAATGATATGTTCGAACATGTCACACGGTACTTTATTAAACCTCTCACTCTTTTCATAGCCTTCTTAAAAACACGTCTCTTTATAAGGCTTAATTAGCACGTTTTCTAAGTGTTACATTTTGTCTAAAAGTGATTAAGTACATTTACTTACTTTCGTTTTAAGACACAAACCAAGTTACACATAATTAATTGAATTACACGTGATTTCTCTTTACTGCTATAAACTGTAAAATATTCAAACAGATTGGTATAACACTTCAAGTTTGTACTGGTAGCCTATTCTATGACCAACAAAAATAAATAACAGATGACTATCTTACTATGGTAACATAATAAAGACACAAAGGTCAGACCAGCTTGAGCTACGAGGGCAGATATGCTGAACAAAAAAAAAAATGCAGAGTTATTCTCATTGTCCGAAAGATGAATAGACAGGTTTTCTACTTTTACAAACTACTTACTACAATGTAAAGAAAGTTTTCTATTATTAAAGGAACAATGCACTTGGACATTTTAAGATTACTAGCAGACACTTTTTTACTACTTTGAACCAGTACTATGAACATAATTATCTATTTACTCATCATTAAATAATATTCACCACTTGATAACTTTCTAAATCTAAATGGTCTCTTGAAAAAATATGTATTTTTGTAAGTTCTACTTAATAACTAGTAAACCACAGCATTTCATTTCAAAGAGTGAACTTGGTAAAACACTAGGGATGAATGTATATCATGCTTTTTAACATCCTGATAGGTTTATTGTGAAAAATCACTGATTTTTAGTTCACCTTAAAACTCTTACTTATTACAACATGTAGTTCTTGTTTCAGTAATATCCTGTTTTTAACTAAATGTTATCTCTTAAGAAGTGGGAGTATATGTAGTTCTTGTTTCAGTAATGTCTTGTTTTTAACTAAATGTTATCTCTCAAGAAGTGGGAGTATAAGTAGTTCTTGCTTCAGTAATGTCTTGTTTTTAACTAAATGTTATCTCTCAAGAAGTGGGAGTATATGTAGTTCTTGTTTCAGTAATGTCTTGTTTTTAACTAAATGTTATGTCTTAAGAAGGTGAGACGAGCTATACATTAAACAATAAAACTCAATTTGATTTTCATTCTTTTATCCTTTTGAATATTAATATAATTTTAGCTTTCTTCTTAGGACTCAATCACAATATTTTTTATATTAACAAAAAAAAAAGCATGAGAAAAGCAAAATTAATCTTTTAATCAATTAACAATAATAATGGTAAAATGGGATGATAAAATATGTCTTCTCATTTCAAAAGTATTGACACTCCGAGACTGACAGCAAGTGCAATTTTCTCCTGTTGCAAAAAACTATTTAATCAATCGTCTAATCATTGCTGACTTACCTACTTATCTAATTAACATTTAATTAAAAATAGACATCATTGAAGTATTGCTTGAAAACTCTAAGAAAATACCTTTTTTTTTAACAATTCACATCTGCATTTAAATCATAGTGATAAAAAAAGATTCAAATTTAAAAATTTTTATTTTTAATCTACTGTTCAAAATATTCAGATATCAAGTTTCCTTTTGAAAAAAGATTTCCATAAAATTACAAAATGAGAAAAGTCTGGAATATAATATCTTTTGCTCATAAAGAAGTGGTCCTTAGAGTTTGAATATAATACAAAGTAGTGTAACAAGTTAATGTACAAAAGGAAACAAACAAAAGTATTAGCTGTACAAACAGAAGTATTCAGTGTAAAAACTAACTTTAAATTTAGGTCATTCATCTAACCTTTACAATTAAAAAAACAAAAAATTAATCAGCAGTTGAGCATGGTCTGGTCACCAGAAGTACCCGTCCAAATGCAGGTTTCAAACATAAGAAAACTAAAGTGTGTATCTACAGCCATCTTTACAAGGAACACTGAATGTACAATTATTCTCACTACTTTACAGTCTCAAAATGTTGACTTAAAATTACAAGCTAGTGCTAGGAAGCACCTCCCTGTGCAATGACTGTTCCAGGATTTTCTGTTAAAACATTTGAAGTACCGGTGACGCACATAGTTTGAATGTGATCTCCGTCGGCTACCTTCTCGCTGAGGACTGTTGGAGTGGACAAGCTGCTGGGACTGGACACCACTGAAACTTCGGTACTTAACGTATGAAGAGGATACTTCCCAATGGTAGTTAATAACTGCTGTACGCTAGGTAAAACTTGGCCATTTGCTGTAGAACTGATGCAAAACCCATTTTGATTGGCTGGGTGTGAGAAAGATTCCGAACAAGGGAGAAACCACTCTGGTGACGTATGGTCTACAGTTTCTTCCCCCGTATTACTAGTGCTGACAGACCCCGTCGTTAAAAAAGAACTTACTGACGAGAAAACAGTATTTGCTGCCGACGTGTTGGAATTTCCAAGGCCTACGGCTGTAGTTGAAAAATGTGAGGCACCATGAGGATAGTTACAGTCCACTGAGCTGATTATTCCTGGATCAACAGCAGAGTACGATATTACTCCACCATCAAGAACACTAGAGAGTAGCCCAAAACCATCTGACTGGATACGACTTTGTCCTAGGTAATAGCCATTTATGGAAGCTGAATGAGAAAGATCAGATGGTAGAGTGAGAAGTGAATTATGTAACAAGTGGCTTTCTGATACGAGGGAAGGATGGGACATATGACCTTGAGCCATAGTTGAAAGATCCTCAGACAAAGAGGTCAGGTCACTAGACAAGGTACTGGTGATGACATTGAGGTTATCCAATCCACTGTGGGCCAGTTCATGAAATGAATTCTCATTCACTGGCACAACCAGGTTATCTGATTCGAGCAGGCCGCTGCGAAGGTCACCGAGCTCTCGTCCTGTTCCCGACAGCTTCGCAAGAGACTCTTTAGCCATTCGTACATCTTTAGATACAGCTGCTAGTGCCCTTTCCAGCTCTTCTGTCTCTTCTCTTGAAGGGACATATTCTCCATTCTTACTTTCTTTGTAAAAAAATAAAAAATCTATTTTATATACACGTTAAATCTGCCCAACAATACTTTCTCTGTTAAAAGCTACCTCAATTACAAGACCATAAATTGAAAGTTTAGATGTCACATTAAATAAAAAAGGTACCTTTATCTTCACGTACTAAAAAAATATATACATGTCATCTTTTCAACCTGGTATAAAAAGACGTTATTCCTTAAAAAAAATTAACAGTTTCATTATGAATATGCTTGGTCAACCAGCTCCTGCGATCATTACTTGTAGACCATTCTTAAATGCTAAAAAACAATGACTTTTCAATATAACACACATCTCACAGTACAACAAGTAATAAACAATAATGTAATATAACGCATACTATAGTATATGATAGGTGAGAAACAATAATGTAATATAACACATACTATAGTATATGATAGGTGAGAAACAATAATGTAATATAACACATACTTTAGTATATGATAGGCAAGAAACAATAATGTAATATAACACATACTATAAAACAGCTAAGAAACAATGATGTGGTGTGACACAAGTCTTACTATAAAACAATGATGTAGTGTGACACAAGCCTTACTATAAAACAACTAAGAAACAATATTGTAGTGTGACACAAGCCTTACTATAAAACAACTAAGAAACAATGATGTAGTGTGACACAAGCCTTACTATAAAACAACTAAGAAACAATATTGTAGTGTGACACAAGCTTTACTATATAACAGCTAGTAAACAATATTGTAGTGTGACACAAGCCTTACTATAAAACAACTAAGAAACAATATTGTAGTGTGACAAAAGCCTTACTATATAACAGCTAGTAAACAATATTGTAGTGTGACACAAGCCTTACTATAAAACAACTAAGAAACAATATTGTAGTGTGACAAAAGCCTTACTATAAAACAACTAAGAAACAATATTGTAGTGTGACAAAAGCCTTACTAT